TATAACAGCATAATGTAAACCCACTGACACACTTTAGATTGTTACAATAAAACACTTACAAAAGCATTTGAAACGTAACACAATATACACATGCAAAAACAATTTCAATTGCAACAAAACGCAATCTATTGTAGCGACGCTCGCATTGTGTGTTATAAGAACTGACAATATAACAAAAGTAATAAGTTTTAAAACATCTATTAGTGGTCGCGACTCCCACGTCCGTCCTTCAAACCATCAAACTTTTCTTCATCCATATATATATTTTTTGTACATAAACATGGACCATTAATTTTTATTCCGTTCCCATAATTTCTCGCATCGACAAAATGTTCGCCGTCGCTTGACCCCCCGCGAGGAACGCATTACTTACAACAAATTCCATTCGTCTACTTCTATTTAATGAATAACAAAAACAAATGTATTATGTACCTAAACATTCCCGAAAGCATCTAATCTTAAGTGCTAGGACATCTTCATACATTATAAATCTTTAGCTCTAACCTAGTCTAGACTATTATATTTATAGTAGTTATAATATACTTTATTGTACCTCCGGATCGACGGGAATGCTGTTTCAAATTTAATGCTACGTGTTCTTATGCGCGTGCGCATCTCATGGGAGATACATCCCTTGTCTACTCTTGTTTGGATTCGAAAATATTTTCAACTAAACATTTCAAACATTTCTTTTGTCTCTACAGAGACTCTTCTCATTTATCTTAAATACTATATTTATATGATTAATTACTAAATGAAACACTGTACTCTTTAGTAAGTTTTATACATAATTTATTTCTAATTATAATATTTTAAACTGCGTCACACTTCATTCATATAACGCGACAAATACGTTATCTTAATGAATGAAACTGTTCATAATTATCAATAGTTACAAAACTAGTACAAATTCAACGAAACAAGATATCTCGGTACCGAATCGTATGTCGGTCCAGTGGGAATCGCTATATGTGATATCATGAAGGCGATCGCTTATCAGAAATAGTGAATTCAACCTCTGGACCGTTGATAACTGTATGGGAAATGCGCCATGGGAACTAGGAAACTAATAGGTATGCAGCGAGCATTACGTGTAGATATGCATTATTATTTATTTCTAATATAGTGTATTATCTATGTAGATATGACATGACACTGACTTGACACTGACGGCTGAAGAATCCAACGTCAATTTGACATTGAATGACTAATGAGTTCTAAGATTTTCGCGAGTATTCGGTTTAGGTTTAAAGAAGTTTATTTCCAAAAAGAACAAAGTTTGCTTACAAAGGAACCTTAAAAACTATAACTACAATTAAAATTACAAATAATAAACTGTAGTGATTTTAAACAAGATCAGTGAAATCATCTAATATATGGGTTATTAATCGTTTTTTAAATATATTTAGAGATTTTGAATTGACAACACTTATTTATTTATTTATTTAATTTAAAATTCAAGCAACACAAGACTTAGAGGCAAAGAGTTATACAGCTGTATAGTATTCATTTAAATGAAACTAATATTTTTCGGATGTACCTACTACGCGATTTTTATTTTTATCAAAAACTATATACTCTCGACGTTTCGGTTACTTTACAGCAACCGTGATTACGGGCATCTCGTCTGCCCTTGGTTTAATACTTTTTGACATTACATTTTGTACGATAGAATTTTTTCGTAAAACAATATGTTGTTCTTTCTTAATGAGTCGAAGAAAAGCTGGATTATTTGCTATTTCCAGCTAAAGAATCACCTGAATGTGCTAAAAAAAGACTTCAGTTGCTTTCAAATCTTTTTTCTCATACTAAAATCTATTTCAAACGATCACAGTTCATAATACCGGCGTCAACGAATTTGTAATCAGCTGTTACTCAATCCATGCGGGCGTTTCTATGTAGAGTAAACAGACGTAATAATATTAATGTAACATAATAATCACGTCGTATAAGACCCCATCGAACATTTAAACCCCCTCATGGTGGTTCACGGGGCAATTGTGGCGAATTCCGAACACGTGACCATTGTTTGTACTCCATATCGCGTCCGAGTTAATTGTTCATAATTAAGACGTCACTAAATGAATGCGGGTCGCTAGATTATCTCGAAATAGCTCGATTATCTCGAAATATATGTAATTTTAGCGCACATTCAAAACGGTTAGACGTTTACGATAAGAAACGCCGCCGTCAAACACATCCGGCCGATATTGATAAGTGAAGCGACAGCAAACAAATAAATACAAGTCAATAACTAAGGAATTAAACCGGCGGAGCTCTGCCGGGGGACGGATTCCAAGTACTTGTGTTGTACAGCGGTTTTTCACGGATGTAAAAGTTAAGAATGGTTAGCTCACACAATAGAAAGAAGGTGGCTGGCGCCGGCGCGTCGCTCTAACAAGTGAATAACGGTTGAAGAGAGCGAATTGTAGATTACCTGACGCAGGTACTTCATTGTACGTATTAAAATATAAGGAATGGTACAGGAAGTCAAATGAATTGAAAATAAAACCTCACAATTGACTTCTAGTAATACGCTGATATGACAAAAGTATGTGTGTGTGTGTGTGTGTGTGTGTGTGTGTGTGATACTAGCAGGTTCCGTACAATAGTTACTATACTATAGGTCTAAATTTATCAATAAAATGAGCTGAATATTTTTAGTATACGGATCTCTAATCATTGTGAGAAACTTCGTATGTATGTATGTATGTTCCAGATCGCCATAGTCTGTAGTGAGTTGCTTGAAGACTGCTCAGACTGCTTTCCATCGAAGTAAACAAGCAAAAAAAAGCAAGTAAAAGCTACAAGTAAAAGTTAACAGCTAAGTTGACTTCTATTTACTAAACTTACTCATATACTACGTAAATATATTATAGGAGACTCGGTTTTGAATCACGTAAAGAGTTCTTATCAGGTAATAAATATATTTGTGAATAGTACCAAGACGTAAAAGATCTCAGAACCTACTAGTGAACCTACTAGTTTAAGGCAACCATTATATATAAAGCTATATCTCAAAATAAAAAATATTAAAAATACAAAAGTTAACGGTATTCTGAATCCAAGAATAGCCGACGACCGAGCAATACACTCACGTATTGGACTTTTGTTTCGACTTCTCCGAAACGCTGTGTTTTGCATAAGTCAGGCCACGTGGCGAGGCCCGGGGGGTAGGTCCGGGTTCACTACATATGTTCCCGGGTTCATTCATCGTTATAACGCCCCATTCATTGTCGCACATGCTCCGGAAACCCCGCCCTCCCCGCAAATTAGCAGACATACATACATACATACGAAGTGTCACTAATACGAGCATGCACCTTACATGAGTTTTACATTAATAGCCTGTTGTCCATATTCTGTTGATGATGATGCTCCTTCAATATCTGTTCTTCATCATTCTACGACATACGTAGCGTTGTAGCTGTTTGCTACGAGTTTATGAGAGGTTTCTTCTTTTTTTTGCTAACTAGCATCATTGTAATATATTGATAAATAATTTTAATTTAATTCTTTGTTTCATATATTTTTTGTGACTTAGTGACTAAGAATAAGATGATGTAGTGTAATATTCTTGAGCTATGCTATAAGTATATGGTGTCTTGAAGGATATTGTCAAGTCAGTGCATGCCGCAGAGTGAGGTCAGGGTTGTATGAAATGCCATCCGTATCTCCGTCCAATAAATTCCTCAATATCGAGTACCTCCGGATAGCCACCCATAGCGCTTTCAGGCTGACCGCAACTGATAATTGACCGGTCCGACCGCTCCGGCCACCCTTTCCATAAATATTTCCCGATCAAATTATAATACGAACTAAAAAATGCCACTCGCTTCATTCTCGGAAACCTCCGGGGCGGTTGTATTCAAAGTTTGTGAGGGAGACGGCTTTATGAGGAGTTCCTCGTGTGGGAGAAGGACAGCCGCCTAATGGAATGAGGCTCAGGATAGCCGGAGCGACGAGCTGTGAGAATCACAAGAAATGTGTATTTATCGATGGCCGTTGTTCCGTTACAGGCTGGCTTTGTAAATAAATATTGTCATTAAAGTTTTTGTTGCATAGATAACTAATTTACACGCGTTCTACCTGCGGCACTTCCATTCCTTGAACCACATGTGACCCTCGGTTAGAGCACAATAAATAAGGCCTGGTTATGCAATAAAGTCCCTAACCTGCCACTTTTACACTCATATATTATTGTACGGAACAGTTGGTTATGTATAGTAATTACTAATTAGATGTAACTTCCCTATACGATATACAAATAATCCCTGAACTCAAAATTAAAACCATTATAAATCTATATAATCCACATGTCAAGTGTCTAACTCCGTGGAATGTGGGGCGAATTTGACATAATATTTGTTGTCGTTCCCAGGGATGGTATCTAATCAGACCTAGCCGCTTGCCATTGCGGTCCGGGCGCTTCTCACGTCTCCATCCTTTTCAGACTAAATATTTATTAAGAAAGGAAAAAGCTTCCTGCTGATAAGACATTCCCACACATTCATATCGTCTAATTCTCGTCAGGTTTCCGCCACATCAGATCCGTTTAATTACTGTTTGCTTCATTCCGTCTGTATTTGTTTAATATAAGGCTCGATGATGATGACAATATTTATGTTAAGTGATGGGGTGGTCTGTGCTATGTGCAGTGTCAACAAGCCAACACTAGCGCACACAGTTTTTTATGCGCACATGTGCAGCGACACACGAAACTACCCACAAATATTTGTCTTCAATTCTAAAGCGCTTGCCAGCCCGATTGATAAACTCCCGGGAACTTTTTACACGTGATGTAGCCTTTCAAACAATAGTCTTAAGTCATCACAAAACTAAATTAAAGTGACTGATAAAACACATTGTTATTTGTATTAAATAAAATTTTAATTATCCTCTCATACTCGTATTCTCCTAATGATTCTCTTAACTAAAGAATTAATTATTTATAAATCCTTGATAACATTCCTTCGTGAATGCTTCGTTATCACAAGGGCTCAGCCGTCAGACCTTTGTGCTTCGTTCTCTAATGCTGCACCAAAAATAAACCAAGTAACGGAGCTATCCATTAATTGACCGGACCCGGCTGTGGAAAAAAATAATCAGATAAACAGGGTAAGTGTTTACGGTTTCTCACGGCGATGGACCCACCTTCAATGGCGCCTCACTGATTGAATCTACCTTCCACCACCTTCCACACAGACACACGAAAACCAACCTTAACAACACGAAGCAAGGCATTTATTACAAATCATTTTTTTTATGATATCACTTTCACTGCATTTTAACAATTTTCATAGCTATCACACAGATATTAGAGTTCTTTGTTGGGGAGACACAAAAAAATCATGACGCCCATTCAAGGAATTCTGCACCCTCAGCGTGTCAGGTAACAGCGGCCGCTTTAAACGGATAGACAAAAAAATATTATGGTAATTCAAAATAACAAATCATTATTCATAGTTGCCATAATAGCTTTGTTATCATTATTGGATAACACAACCTTTAATCGCTCGCGGTTCGATTTCCGATGTTACATTTGGACCGTCATAGCTCACTCCTTACCAGAAACATCAGCATGACTTGAAGTACTGGGACCTGTCTAACCTTCAGTTAATATACACCATGTATATATAACTCTTAGAACTAAAGAATTCCATTCAAATGATCGCTCTCAGAGACTACAAAGAATTGACAGTTTGCATACTCACAAACCGGTTGAATGTAGACTTTATGCATGTATTGTGGGTATTTTATAAATTCCACATGTAACGAGGCGTGATGAGAGGCCTCCCCCGGCCCCGCAGGCCCGCGGTCCCGGCCCCGCAGGCCTCCATCCCGGGCCTCCGAGCTTTGTAATCCCATAGTCGGTGTCGGCGCCTCCTGCAATTATCACATCCCACCTAAACACATACCGAACGAGCTATCTCAGAATAACCGCCGACACTGATCGACCATGATTTACGAGGGTCCAGAGATGAACTCGCAAAACATACTCTCGCTAACAAAACATTATACACTAATAACATTTGTCAAAAACATTTTACGTAAAACCCAATTCTAATTAATTCATCAAGTAACCAATAATTATTTGATACTAGCAGATATTAAATGTATTATTTGTCGAGTATAATGTCCTTCATACATTGTATAACATAAGATAGTTAATCCCAGCATCCCAAGGTCGAGAGACGCATCATTATCTATCAAGTTAGACTTGTATACAACAGAACAGTATTAGTGCATAGCTGATGAATACAACCAGATCAACGCATGTTTATGAATCAAATGCATGAATGAGTCGGGCCACGTGTCGCGTTTCTCACGCCGCTCGGACGCTTTTTTTTTATAGTTTCATTTTTTCGTGTATATGTCGCGTGGGCTACACATGGAACTTACTCCCCCGCGAAGAACTTACATATGGCGCTATTGCTAACAAACTCGATATTTATTAGCCCATAACCTGAAGATAGGATAAATTATATACAGAAAAATCTTGAGTTACATTGAATAATAACCACAATGAAATATATAATGTGTTTTGTGCGTGCGAATCTCATACCCGACATGTTAGGAGGCGGCATTCTTTTCGCCATTAGTCTAACAAACGAGACCGAACGGACTGCGGCGGGTCGGCGGCTGTTAGCAGGCATAACTAACAAGAATATATGTGAACCCAGAATGTTACCCGGAATGACTCTTAATTGTGTTTACGCAACACAATACCCGTCTTTAGGATTACTATTTCACTTAGTCACATGTTATAATAATTATATATACGTATATCCCATATTTATTTCGGATTTGTTAAGTTTTTTTGATAGAATTATTTATATTTTATCGATAAATATAGATGGCAACTATATCGTGACTTGACTGTACGAGAGATTTATTCTTAGAATTATAACATTCTTTGATATTATTTAACAGATAAATGAATCTTTGGAAGTGTTGAAACATTTCATTCCCGAAATATGAGGCGCTATCACCACACATACCTGTCTTAATGATGCTGTTAAAATTCTTTATCTAAATTCAAAGGTTACTCGTTCCGATGTCTGTATCAAGACATTATCTAAATTCCGAGAATTTTATTTAGATATGTACTTACTTGTTTATTACGTCGAACAATGTTGCCGCTCGCCAAAAAGCGACTCGATTTCTGGTAATTTTTAAAAGTAATTCGTCAACCAAAAAGGTCCGCTTCCAAAAAGGCGAACATGATATAACAATTAATTCTCCAGTAGGCAATGATGTTTAACTGGACATTACGTTTTCACATGAGCTGATCTCTACAGTAATGTAATAATTATAATTGTATTAGAAGTTATGTGACGATGCGCACGGGGAATGCTATACGATTTTTTGTTATTAAACAACAAGTGGGCCAGCGATCTATACAAATGTCAGGCACCTTTCAGTCTTTAACAGTACAAAGTGAAGGTGCTAATTGAAAATGTATATTGATCGTGAAAGTACAGTACAAATAACAAAATTCTCTATCACGTCAGTTTAAAGGTACACTACCTATAGTTAAATTTTCATGTCAAAGAAGGCAAGGTAAGTACATACTATTAATATTATAATTGCGAAAGTTTGTGAGTGTGTATGTTTGTTACTTCTTCACGCTCAAACAGCTGAACCGATTTGGTAAAATTTTGTATACACGAAGCTGACGTCTAGGAATAACACATAGGCTTTACATCCCGGAAATCCGCGGGTAACACCGCGGGGTGCAGCTAGTATGTATATAAATAAATGTTTTTCTGTCTGTGTTATATGTATCGCGTGTTATAAGACGAGGTGACCCCAGCTGGCGACCATGGCCGCAGTTTCCTGCGCACTCAATTAAAACTCATTGCCGGGTCGTGCGAACTAACTGCGGCCCCTCAACAGGAAATAGTACTCTTCTAAGTCATACTCATTTTTTTAGTTCGATCAACTCAATTTCTAATTCATTTTCATCAGGTTTTCTATCTTGAAGCATTGACTGTCCAAGAAACTTATGTTTTCTATCATAATTTATACAGTAAATTTTTTAATTGTATTTTAAAGCCACTTTTTTGTCAATAAACCATCGTGCCCGCGACACATAAAATCAATATTCATGTAAAATAAAAATGAAAGTTATGATATTCTTGGGAAAATATGTCCAATAATTGAATCCTTGAGTCAACCCTGTAGTAGTTATTAATAGCTTTTAATTGATTACCTTCTGTAGTTTCTTAAATTCTTTAAATACAATCGTTGTTTTTTGCCCGCCTCCATCTCTATGGCCGTTTGTCGATGCAAGTGACTTTTACATTCCATCACGAAGATATTCTCAACTGTATTGTGATTTATACCATCTTTACTATTGTGGAACCAAACCATACTCTTTATAGAACACTTTTTACTATTCTATCGAGTCTTGAGTTGTAACTGTAATCATTTTATTAAATCAATCAATACTAAGTAGATAGTTTTTTAAAAGATTGAATGCCAGTTACGAACGATTTACTAAGTAGATAGAGAGCAGAAGAATTTAAAAGCCCTACTAATATTATAAATGCGAAAGTAACTCTGTCTGTCTGTTACGCTTCCACGCCTAAACCACTGTTCTGATTTTAATGAAATTTGGTACAGATATAGAGTTGACCTTGAGAAAGAACATAGGATAGTTTTTTTCCCAGACTTTTGAAAAATTCTCTTGAAAACGCGATATAACCGAACTCCACGCGGGCGAAGCTGCGGGCGGAAAGATAGTTTATTATATGTATATACTATTGTAACATCATTAATATGACCAAAAAATAATATGAACCAACTTCTTGCAAAATTAATATGTCTATCAAAACTTTTAGACATTTATTAACATTCCTCAAATACCAATACAATTAGAAGCCTCGTACTAAATATGACGACAATAGATACGGAAGTTTATTGTGCCTTGGTTTCAACACAAAAGTTTTCAAAGCAGTGTGTTAAAATATCTCAATTAATACGAATAAATGAAACTAATATTTTCGGATTTACTAATCGGACATCTCGTCTTAATGATCACGGTTGCTGTAAAGTAACCGAAACGTCGGGAGTATGTAGTTTATAATCAAAAATAAAAATCGCGTTGTAAATACGAAAATATTAGTTTCATTTAAATGAATAGAAAAAATCTTAGATCTTATTAATCTGAATAAATTATTGTTCGATTCCTGCAACGAAAATACTCACTTACTTTAATTAAGAGAAAGAGAACTATTTGTTGTGTTATTTTACGATGTTCAGAAATGTTATTTGCAAGATAAGTTCTCTAAAAGTAAACTTCTAATTCTCTAATTCTTTTTGAACCTCCTGTGTTAACTACAATACAATAATCATCAATATTTAAGCAGTTTTAAAGTGATTTAACATAAGATGAAAAGGCTTCATAAAATTTCCAAAGAGGGTTGATGTCAGGCAGGCGGCCGGTCGTAAAAACAATTAGCTAAAACTATTTACATGTAAGGCAGACCCTGGCTAAAGCTGGGAAATTGCCAGGTAGAAGATGAAAAGGCTGATGAGCTCAGGCTTTAACCTCAAGTAAAATGATTCAAGTTATACTCACACTTACTATCAACAAGTATGACTTTCATGTAACTTAATAACTTGTCTTTTAGTTAATCTATTTCGGATACCTATGTATAATTAATTAAATTATAATTGTGTAATTCTATAAGCAGTTAATAGTTCATCTTTATAGTTAAATTAAATGTATGCTTGTTCGTTATTAACTAAGGTTTGAAAATGATAATTTATTATAAAATAACAGTTAAATTTACATTTATATATATTAATTTATATATCTTAACAATATATTCTAAAATATTATTATTATAGTAAATTCTACATTAATATTTATTGAATATTGTATTAGTATAAATTTATTTGTTTGTATCGTTCTGAACACAACAACGTAGAGAGGCCCCAATTCTGTCTACAACAGTCAAGGCCCTCGAGTCATTGGCATTCGCCCTCACTCAAGGCAACTTTATAAATTACGTGTACCTATACTCAAAGTTTTATAAACTGAAAAAATAATATTAGATATTCTCACTAAAAAATAAAAATCAAAATTCCATAGTTTTCAACCATAATAAAACTTAATGTTCAAAATTCTTAAAGTGTTGCGAAAAAATCTTATAGTCTATGGTCACTTCAGGTTTTGCTGTCAGTATAGCCGTTAAAATACCGTAAAATCGGTGATCGAGGCGGTTGGTGGTAGTTGGGGAAGTTCAATTTTTAATTAAATAATATGCATACATTTATTAACACCTAAAATTAAACCATCACTTTTTTTAATCTAACGATGGATCACTAGCAATCTTTGTGGCGAAGTATTTTGTAGGATTTATTGTTAAAATTTTTGGTAGTTAATTTTTTATATGTCTGTGGGTAAAAACAGAATAGTTTTGAGACAAGAGTAAAAAGAATTTAAGAATATAATCATCTATTTTTAAATAAATGACATTTAGTAAAAGATTTAGTTTAGTTTATTATATTATGGTTTTAAAGTCCTTAACATATACTACTAATACACTTCTGGATACAAAATAACCTTTTGTCTTTATTCGTATAGGTTTCAAACCACCCAAGTTTTCTTGTAGTCCCAATCTTAATGAATTCTATAACCTACTGCCTATGCTCTTATGGATTATAACAATTCATATTATTTTTTATTTCTTAGTATCATCTCCATATGATTTTTATTCCCTCTTAGCTTCGGTTAAACGATTTCGATTAAAATAAAATTCATTTCATATTTATACTTCTTCATTACAAAACGGTTTAAATTTAATTTCTAAGTAAATTTTAAAATTTAAAGCATATGTTTCGGGTATTGTTAATAACTTTTTCACTCACAAAGCATGAAA